GGTATTGCTCGAGTTCTTTTATCCCTGCCTAGCTATCTAGCAGCTGCTATAACAGTGTCTGTCGCACTATCATACACATACGTTTGTTGATCAATCAGTAGTTTATCAAAGACCAGCTTGCCTCTCTTATCCTGCATCTTGGCAAATTCAAGTAACTTTCGCCTTGCTAACCTGGTCGCAACAGAAAAGTCTTCTCTAATTGAATAAGTCGAGCCTTTGAGCTTATGCGCAGATGCAAGAATTCGCTGCTTGTCCTTGAAGAATGCAAGTTTAGCAACGATAGGTCTGCGCTTATTCAAGGCAAATTTCCCTAGTCGATGAACACGCTCAAAATGGCTCTCAGTGATAGTAACATCCAGCTTTTGGGCGCAGAAGGTAATAATTTTATGCTCAGAATCATCCCATTTTTCTTTTTCATCATCCTCAAGCCCAAAGAAAAGCAAGTTCGACCGCCGAGACCTGTTCTCAGCATCGTCACATCTTTCTGTAACCTTATTTAGTTTCGCAGCTAGGTCACACAAGGAAGGATCAAGGCCACTGAGCTTAGGTATGCTAAGTGACTCTATTGTGTTTTCCAGTGACGTAACACGGCCAGACAGCTGCGTAATTGCCATATCTGTAGCACGTTGCTTTTCCTTTATGCCCTTCAGCTCATTAAGTATTTCCTTTTGACCGGTCTCGAGCCTACGCATGGTATCCAATACTAATGAAAGCACACTCTCCTGTGTTGTTTGCACAGGGGGCGGACCAGGATTTGTCTCTACATCGCCGGCCATTAAGAGCAGCAAGGACATAGCAGCGGAACAACATCGCGACACTGAGCAGATAAAGCGCTTCATCATAGCACAGTACTTTAGTGGGCACGACACCGCGAACAAACAGTAGTCACTACTCCTTGGACCGGCAGCACCGCCTAGGTAACTAACCTGCACAATCAGGACGGGTAAATGACGCATGTCTGATGCGGTGTAGTGCCCAAATCCGCCGGTGGTACGGTAGCTTTTATATCCTGGACCAGCTGTGACGTGGATCTTTGACGGAAAACTTTGTTGCCAGGTAGAAGCAACGATGTCATCCAGTATCAGCGTAGCTGGCGATAAAACACGGAAAAGCGGCAGCAGGAGGTCGTGACCATGCTCACGCTGGCCAGCCGTCCAGCACACCGCGCCACAGAGGAGAGCACCCTGCACAATCAGGACGGGTAAATGACGCATGCCTGATGCGGTGTAGTGCCCAAATCCGCCGGTGGTACGGTAGCTTTTATATCCTGGACCAGCTGTGACGTGGATCGTTGACGGAAAACTTTGTTGCCAGGTAGAAGCAACGATGTCATCCAGTATCAGCGTAGCTGGCGATGAAACACGGAAAGGCGGCAGCAGAAGGTCCATCGCATTCCGGTATATGTTGCGAGACTCTATGCTGCACGCAAGTGCGGGGCTTGACACACCTTTGAAATCGCAGTCTGTAGATAGGTGGATTGATCGGGTACAAATTATTCTAAGACAAGAGAAGCCTTGATATCTCTGAAAGGAATCACCCATGCACATCTCAACCTAATAATGTAAATATAGTGTCTTAATTTCTTCTCAAATATACATGATTATGCGCCAATGAGTATGTTGTATCCAAACAGAAGCGTGTTCTTGATTTAAACACCTGTCGAAATGCAACTGTCCTTGTAACGAATAGAATTCATAATCGGGGTAAGCCCGACACAGACCTTTTTACTCCTTTGACATTGCTACACGACCGAGTGCATTATTGTGCAGAAGCAAAACTAATTTTTTCATTGTTTTACCTGAAACATTACCAATTCTGTTTTCTTCATAGCTTGAGACAAGCAAAAAGCGGTCGCAAACCGCGGAACAGCGCACGGCGCGAGCATAGGTGCGCCACGGCTGGCATCGAGGAGTTTGTGCCGTGACGTCATCCTCCAGGCGGCGCCACTCCAATTTTTCAGGGCTAATAAAGAAGCAAGTCGACGAAATGCTACGTGACGACATTCTCCAGCCTTCAAAGAGTCCATGGGCGTCACCCGTTGTGTTAGCAAATTGAAGTCGACGAGAGGGACCGAGAAAAACTGCCTTTATTAGAACGGACTGCCTGTTCGAGTTTAAGGTCATGCCCTTTGGTCTCTGCTCTGCACCCGCGACTTTCCAACGTGTTATGGATTCAGTACTGGCCGGCAGAAAGTGGCAGACTTGCCTTGTGTACCTGAACGAGGTCGTGGTGTTTTCCTCAAACTTCGACGAACACCTCTGAAACCTCGGGCACCTTGAAGCTGTACTGCAAGCAATCAAGAGCTCGGGACTCACCCTCAAGGTCGAAAAGTGCCGCTTTGCATACGAGGAGCTCTTGTTCCTGGGCCACGTCATCAGCGAGCCCGGCGTTCGCCCCAACTCGCAGAAACAGCTTCCATCACCAACCGGCAATAAGGCTGTGCGTTGATTTCTTGACCTATGAGCCTATTACAGGCGGTTTGTCAAAAACTTTGCCCACATTACAGAGCCACTCACTAACTTTACCAGGACCGATGTGGAGTTCAAGTGGGAAACGCCGCAAGAGGAAGCATTTCAGGAACTGAAACGACACCTGCAGACGCCTCCGCTACTCGCGCCTTTCAACAAATTCGCCGAGACAGAAATACACCCCGACGCAAGCAATGTTGGACTCGGCGCCGTTCTTGTGCAGAGGACTAACAGACTAAAAAGAGTCATCAGTTATGCTAGCCGGTCTCTATCAAAGGCAGAAGCCAACTATTCTACAACAAAAAAGAAATGCCTTGCAATCATCTGGGCTACATCGAAGTTCCACCCCTACCTTTATGGCAGGCCCTTCAAAGTTTTGAGCGACCACCACGTTTAGTGTTGGCTAGCTAACTTGAAACACCCTTCAAGTCACCTTGCACGGTGGAGCCTGAGACCTCAGGAATTCAACGTTACCGTCATTCACAAGTCTGGAAGAAAACACTATGATGCCGACTGCCTGTCTCGTGCCCCCGTCGAACCACCGCCAAAGGACGACCCGGATGATAACTGTTTCTTAAAAACCACCATAAGTGCTGGCGACTTCGCTAAGCGACAGAGAGCTGACCCGGAACTCAGGAGCCTTGTAGAATACCTCTAGGGCAAGGCTGCTATTGTCCCAAAAGTATTCGAACGAGGAGATGAGTTTTTTTTTTTTTTTTGCTGAACGGTGTCTACTTGGAGAAAAACTTCTCGCCACTTCGGGCATACTACTTCAGCGTAGTACCTTCAGCGTTACATCCAGAAGTTTTGGATGTGCTACACGAGGACCCGACAGCTGGACACCTCAGTGTTTCCCGTATGCTTGCTAGAATACAGGAGAAGTACTACTGCCCACGTTTTTCCACTGAAGTCACTCGTTATGTGAAGACATGCCGGGATGACAAAAGACACCGCCGACCAGGCCAGCCGGACTTCTCCAGCCCATCGAGCCACCTCAGCAGCCGTTCCAGCAAATCAGCATGAACTTACTGGGGCCGTTCCCGACGTCGAGTTCCAGGATTAAATGGATCGTTGTAGGCACCGACTACCTCCCACGCTGCGCTGAGACGAGGGCCCTGCCCAAAGGCAGTGCCGCCGAGGCAACGAAGTTCTTCGTCGAGAATATCGTCCTGCGACACGGCGCTCCACAAGTTCTCATTACTGACAGACGTACGGTCTTTACGGCGCACCTAACTCAGGTCATCCTGAGGTACAGCCAGACAAGTCACCACCGGACCACTACATCCATAGACGAATGGCTTCACTGAGCATCTTAATAAAACCATCGTCGATGTGTTGGCTATGTACGTAGACGTCGAGCACAAGACGTGAGATCATATTTTTCCTTACGTGACCTTCGCGTACAATACGGCCGCCCAAGAAACGATGCAGATAACGCCGTACAAGTTGGTCTATGAAAGGGCTCGACGCTGTGCTTTCAAACGTCGCTGACGAAGAGAACCTCGACGTCACTGCCTACCTTCAGCGGGCGGAAGAAACTCCTCAACTCGCCCGTTTTTGTATCAAGAATCAGCAGGCGACCGACAGCCGCCGTTACAATCTTCGACGAAGCTTCGTGCAGTACCAGCCCGGGGACCATGTCTGGGTATGGACGCCGATACGCCGACGTGGGCTCAGTGAGAAACTTCTGCGACGGTACTTCCGACCGTACAGAGTACCTCGATGTCTTGGCCCACTCGACTACGAGGTTGTTCACGATGGCACTACGAACTCTCAACGACATTGTGCTCGACCTCAAGTCGTTCATGTCGTGCGCCTTAAGCCATTTCATGTGCGAACCTGAGGACTGTATTTTGTTGCTATGCTTTATTGCTAGAACTTATATTGTTTATATTCCTTTTATTGTACTTTAGTTTTTTGTTACAGCATCGGGACGATGCCTTTTTCAGAGGGGGGCAATGCCACGTACATTTCTCAAGCTTTGTTATCGCCTCGTTACACTACGTTCAGCAGAAACCGTGCCTACGATGATTGAGAAGCTTTGAGGCTATAGTAGATCGTTTTGTTAAGATTTCGCCCACTTCGTGAACATTACAGATTTTTCTGGAACCTACGTCGCCGTTAGCGATAATGCTAGAATATTCTATGGTGAGGGTATAAATGCCAACATTCTTCGCCGCTTGTCAGTTGATCGACGGCCGACACCCTGCTCGCCGCTATCAGTGCCAGCTTCTTGCTGTAATCTGACTTTCCTTTTACGTTGCCACAAGTTCGGCCCGATTAAACAGTTTATTATTCGACCTGCAGTCTGCTTCATTGGTTCACGTCACGACCCCGTGACAATGCATAGGCAATATCAATTTACAACCATCATCACTACTTTGCAATGCTCAACTATTCTTACATAGATTACCCAACTCCGAAGAGTGCTAGTAATTGCTTGAAAGCACTTCCAGTCAATCAATCAGTATGACATACACCCAAAACCTTACATCACTAAGATTTAGAAGCCCACAAAAAAGGGTACCTCACCAGAGTTGTCAATAGGAAAGGCAACTTTCTCAAGGAAGCCTACTTCAACTCCATCCTCTGATCCAGGCACCTTTATTTTTTCACCAGGAGATATGGGGACATGTCTGACCTGAAAACCAGAGGGCACTTTAAATTTGTGACCAACGCTAGCAAGAGTCATGACTAAAACAAAATGAATTGGAAAAAAAGATCGCACAGATCTCCCCATAAAGTGAACCCTGAGTAGTATCCGAAGCAGCCATGAGTTGACTTGCGGTTCTGTGAAGAGTTTCTCTTTATTCATCAATGTAGACATTCATGGTTGCGCACACAGCTGCATTGCGAGCCCTCACCTCCGCCACACTCCTCCTCATGTCCTTTTTCATACTACTACACTGTGTGTGAGAGAGAGAGAGAGAGAGCAGTAAGCGCTCTTATGATACACAGCAGCACAGCACCGCTAGCAATCTCCACTCTACCAGAGGACGCTCCGGAGTGGAGCGAGTGCTCTACCGCAGAGCTATCTAGTGGGCACTTCAAGTACTAGTGTGGCTACAACATGGTGGCTAGAATGAGAGGCGTCGACATCGCCTCAATTGTGCCATGTTCAAAGACGTGCTGGTATTTCCACTATGAGACGGCGCGTCCTTCACTGCCAAGATTTGTCAAGAGCACCCCTGAACACCCGCCGACCACCAGCGCTGCACGTTTTGTCGTTTACAGATAGGTGCAGACAAGAGTTCAAGAATGCCTACAGTGGTGTGCTGGTTTGAACTTGTTCAAGTTTGGTACATACCAGCGTGGCCATACCATAGTGATTTCTTAACAGCATAAAACCTGCTTTCCGCTTGCTGCCAACATTCACGTCGATGATGAACAGCGCAGGGCCTGGGAGGGCATGATTCTTCATGCTGACAAGCCACTGGATAACAACTGCATTACCGTATTTTCTCGCATATAACCCGCCCTCGCATATAACCCGCTCCCCTAACTTTGAACTCCCCGAAAAAAGAAAAAAAATCCTCGCGTATAACCCGCATGCTTAGCTTAAAAAAAACTGTTTTGGGAAGTCACAGTCACAATCTCGTTTACAAAAGAACTTTATTTCGAAGCGATCGCCGCAACGTTGACGGCGCCGATTCCCGTTCCTTCAATCATCGCCCGACTCGCCGTTGTCGCTGCTGCCATCCGAGGCTTCGTCGCCGCTCTCGAAGACGCAATCATCTTCGGTGCCATCCAAGCAATTGCTGATGGCGCACTTTTTGAAACTCTTGCGCACCATGTCGGCCGGAATCGCCCCCCACGCATCCACGATCCACTGGCACAGCAGCGCAATGTCTGGCCTCCGCACGCGCCCCGTCGGTGTGAGGGCGTAAAGGCCGTCGGCCATCCACTCGGCATACAGCCGCTTCACGTGCGCCTTGAACGGCTTATTGAGGCACACGTCCAGTGGCTGTAGCATGGAAGTCATGCCACCGGGTATGATCACGAGGTCGGTGCGGTGGTCAGCGAGGCGCGCTTTCACTGCGTCAGTGCAGTGGCCTCGAAACGAGTCCAACACCAGCACCGACCGCCGTGCCAACATGGCGCCCGGCCTCTTCTCCCAGATCGTGCGAAGCCAGTCACAGACGAGGTCACCATTCATCCACGCGTTATCTTCGGTTCGCACAACAATCCCTGGTGGCAGTGGAGTGCTGGGTAGCGTTTTGCGCTTGAAGATTACATACGGGCGCAGTTTGGTACCGTCCGCCAAAGCGCACAACATTACTGTGCAGCGTAGTTTGGTGTTTCCGCCCGTCAGTACGCTTACAGATTTCGAGCCCTTTTTCTGCAGAGTGGTGTCCATGGGCATCTCGAAGTACACGGGCGTTTGATCGGCATTTCCCACCTGGGAGAGCAAGTAGTTGTGCTCCTTCCGCAGCCCGATGACGTAACGTTGATAGCTCAACAGCTTATCCTCGTAGGCGTTGGGAAGCCGCTGGCACATAGTCGTTCGCCGCCGCATCGAAAATCCGTGCCTGGCCATGAATCGCTGGAGCCATCCACGGCTCGCACGAAACTCGCGTGAGATGTTCATCTCGCGGGCCAACCTCAGCGCTTCCATCTGCGCCATCTCCGTTGACACAGCGTGGCCGCGACTCCTCCGCTCCTCAATAAATTTGACAAGCTGCGTCTCAAGAAGGGGGTACGCACCAGTCTTCGGGCCGCGAAATGCTCGCTTCTGCTTGTGTGCACTTTCGAGAGAGGCCTTTTTTTTTCGCCAGTCGCGAATGCAGGACTCGTCGACATCGTGCCTCCTCGCAGCAGCTCTGTTGCCGATTTCTTCCGCAGCAGCTATAATCGCGAGTTTTTCTTTCGCGGTGAAAGATTGTCGCCGAGACCCACTCATGGTGCCTCACCAGACAAAGCTGACCAACGGTGCAAACTGGCCACACCTGACTCTGAGACAGACGCTGTCAAATCGCTGTTGTGACGCTGTTGACCAAATCAAACAAAGCACGCAAAAAGTGAATAAACACGCTACGGACGGGATCTGTCTATGGCCTATGTTGGCTTTTATTGGCTTTGCACCAGACGATGCCGATGGGGATGCGGACTGCACGGCAGGCTATGCATTGCCGTGAAGCCGACCTCTGCTTCCGGATTATTCGCAGATAACCCGCACCCCCACTTTTCAGGCGATTTTTTTCAATTTTTGGTGCGGGTTATATGCGAGAAAATACGGTATGTGTGAAGTTCATTTAGATGAGAGATTCATCATCCGCATGTGTACAGTCGAACCCCGCTATGACGAACGCCGTTTCAACGAAATGTTTGCTACAACAGAAAATTCTCGGTTCCCCATCAGCAGCCCATAGGAGTCAACGCATAAAATTCTCACCACAAAGAACACATTTTCTTCTGCCGTTCCGCTTCAACAAAATTTTACCATGCAATTCCTGACTGAGATATTTAATGCTATGCAGTAAACTTGATAAGACAGATGCTTGGGCTAGTTGGTGATTGGGAATCAACATATTTGCACTGCCCAAGACTACGAGTAGTTACAACGTAACTACAGAAGAAGAGACAAGGACAAAAAGAGGGCTGACTTCAACTGAAATTTTATTAGCGAAAACGCTGAAGATATATACTCGTGACAGAGTATATATCTCTGTCCTTGTCTCTTCTTCTGTAGTTACGTGGTAACTACTCGTAGTCTTGTGCTGTGCAAATACGTTGATGCAGTAAACACAATCTTTAACATTTTGATGCATTTACAGCACCTGAAAATACGATGACAAGTCTAAAACACGCGTTGGCACCACCAAAAACCGCCGCTGTTTACCAAGCTGCCATTCCTCGATAGCGATGGCAATGAGACTGCCCTTCTTTTGCCACTTTCTTGCTTCTGAGCTACAGATGATCCAAAGATGAAGCTCATTCAATTCAGCTCATCGTTTTCTTTGACACAGCTGTGCGGAACGATGCCTTTTTCGATGCCAATGCATATCATTTTTTTTGCGCTTGGCCAGTGCGGTATCTAATCAAAGCGGCTGTTTGTCTGCATTGACAAAACAATCCAGCCAGCCACGAGTGATGGATGATAAGAATAGCATAGAATAAGGCAAAAGTGACCGGATATGCTTTGATGGTGGACAGCTGCTGGTGTTGGCGTGTTAATGCAGCTGTTAGGTTCGTTCACGAAAGCCGTCGCAGCCGTTGTTTCAGCATGCTTTTCACCATGGCGTTTCTAAGCATGCGTGAGAGTCCCGTTGTGACGCTGCAGGGAAAGAATAGGAAGCAGCTGACACATTTTGTATTTTGGGAATAAAAGTTCTTTTGTTTTGCTAGCTCAGATCAGCTGCATTTTCTCGATTTCAATACAACAAAATTTTCGCTTCAAGGAATTTTTTCCTGCGCCCCCAGTTTCGTTGTAACGGGGTTTGACTGTATAAGCAGGTCATCAACACTCAATCTATGGAAGTTTCCCCTGATTGTTGTATACACTGACATACGAAAGCGATTCCCATGATGTTTCCAAATGTGGCTGCTTACCTCTCAAAGAAGCTGCCTCTAAAAAGAAAGACGGTGTTGTACAATGGAAGTGCAACATCTAAGCAAAGAAAGGTTGACTTTATTAACGAGGAACTGCACAGTGCTCAAACAGACATTCCATAAGTTGGATTAGCTATATATCTCGGAGGACATGATGCAAGATGACCCTCTTAGTAAGTACTGAGCAAAACACGTCATCCCAATCGACACAGTTAATGTAGCGTCCCGAGTTTGTGCATGAAGTGTGAGAACTGTGCTTTGAAAAGTTACCTTTGTATTCAAGTAATGCTTCAATCATTGCACACATGGCATATGTACACTGGCGCTCAACATGACTTGCCACATAAAAGCGCCATGGTTGAAGGCGCCCCAGCCTACACTGTAAAACACCAGCAAAAGTGAAAAATGTTTTGAGAATATCAGCAGTAAAAACAGTTCACACATCGTAATCATTGCCTATATGTCGACGCCACCGTGCACTGCTGGTGCCGCTTTTGCCACGGGTAGGATGTTGCAACTCATATAGGGCAGGACTGGACAGGGTATTCTTGAAAAAAGAGAGGATGTTGACAGTGTTACTAATGTGAAGAGCCTCCTGATCGAAATGTATGCCATGATTCATTGCGAGGGGTTAGAAACAGAAACAGGATTACAAAGTGCGCAAATAAAAACAAAGCACATTCCTTGGAGGGAAACTGCCCAGCCTGGTGTGTTGTGGGACAGCCCAGAATTGAAAGCGATGCTTGCACTGCAGGTTCGTGGGCTGTTGATAGATGAGACGTACTATAAGCGTGCAAGACAGTCAAGAAATAACCTAACACGGAAGTTGAAGCAAAAAAATGTGTAGCTACATTGGTGAAAGCGCAGCATTGGAAAGTTAAGCGGTACCATACGAAAAACGCAACAGCAACAGCAAGCCATAAGTAACATTGGTTTTGAGGAAAAGGAAAAAAACAAATGGGATGATATTTCAACAAGAGTGGATGCTTGAGCGCATTGTGGTACAAATATGATGTTTTTCCCGTTAAACTATAAGAGTATGTCAAAATAACGTATTTACTTGCGTGATGAATGCACCCCCCCTACTTCAGT